TAAAAACCAAGTGTTTAAAACACTTATTTGATGTATTTGGCTAAGAAATCAAGTGAGACACTTTAAAAACCACGTCATTTGAGTGAAAACCACGGCTAGCCAAGTTTATGCCGTTTTGAATGATTTTTGTCAAACGACCAAAAGCGAAAGATGGTTTTCGAAGTGTTTTTGTTGGAGAACCGTTTAAACATGCCAAAGAGTGAAAACAAATCATAAAAAGTTGAAAACCACTCGGTTGGTTCGGACGCCAAAAACCATAGCCGATAACCGAGAGCCGAACGCCGGTTTCTGAAACCCGAACGCTGGATGGCTTGGTTTTTGGTTTGGGCGAACACCAAGTGTTTTTAATGACTTAAACAAGTTTGAAAAACATTTTTATAATGTAAGAAATGCAGTGAAAGGTTTTAGCCTAAAGAGCCAATGCGTGAGTGTTGGTCAGTCTTGATTACAATTATGACCGACTCAACAATACAAAAGACTGCGGTCTTCGTTCTTGGTCTCTTTTAGCTCTTGTTCATTATCTTCGTTCCTCGCCTTGTATATTCAATGTTTGTCTTGATCACGGCGGTTTGGCATTATCAAAACCTGTTAAAAAAAACGAACACGGCTTAAGTACGAAAACACGTTAAACCCGTGTTTCAACAATTTCCCCCTTTTTGATAATGGCAAACGAGATGAGGTTATGCATATGAGGAAGACTTAGAGACTTAAAAAAAATGTTCCCCCTTAATAGTTGCCATTTTATTTTAAAAACAATTCCCCCTCAATTTATGCATAACCTTGATATCTTCCCCCTTTTGACATTAACAAAAAGAATTAAAAGTGAACTTTAGAGTATAAAAGTGAACTTTTATTCATTAAAAAGGAGAAAATGCGGAATACAACGGAATGGAAATAATAATAAAAAAGACAATCATAGTAAGGGAGGAAAAGAAAGAAGAGTCTAGGCAGCGGCGTCCTCGTCCTCAACGTCATCGTCTTCTTCGTCGTCCTCAACGTCCATGGGATCCCCGTCGACCGCGTCCTCAAAATCGGCCTCGTCGGGGGAGGAAGACGGAGCATAGGAGTCATCCTCCTCGTCCTCGCCTTCATAGTTCTGGCCGAGGATGGTGCTGTCAAAGGGCGGCGGGACATAGTTGATGCCGCGGAAGAACGCTGTCATGTCATGGTGTTGACGTTGCAGCGTCCAATCCATCCGCTCGATTGACTGCCCCATGCCATCCACTGTGAGGGTTAGCCGATTCAGAGTATCGGCTATGGACTGTAAGGACGCCTTGGCGGGAGTGGGGGCAGGGGCAGGGGCACGGGCACGACTCGGTCCAGCGCCGGTTCCGTCACCGGACTTCTTCCGGAAGGTGCTGTCTTGGATGATCCAAATCTTTGTCATCTTCGTGTCCGGGCCGGCGATGTGGATTTCGGCCGCGACAATGAGATCCATGACGAGGAAGGCGTAGGGCAAGCTCCTTTCGGTGGCGATTGAGGCGCAATCCGCCATGTGGATCATGACGTATTTCGCCCAATTGATCGAGGCGCCATGGGTGATTGCATGAACGGCCTTGAGATCCTCGTTGAAGAGACACGTGTGGCTGCCGTCCCGGGGGCGAAGAATCCGGGTGAGGATGTAGAG